GCCCTTGACCGGAATCGAACCTGGGACCCCTCAGTCCGCAGGCCGACGCTCTATCCACTGAGCTAAACCGGTTTCAGCGAGATTGTTTTCTTAATGTCAGTTTCAGGCGGTTCATTGCTAATATATGGAAATATAATTTATTTTTATATAGTAAATATATTGTATATTTTATATAATATCCTGCAACCTTGCTGAACTTGATTAGTTCTGATAGAATTTTCTGTGATTTGTTTTTTTTTTTTAGAATTATCTATATACAAGATTGTTACCTGTGAACAGAGATTGTTTTACTTCTTTCCAGCAAGATGCCTTTTATTTATTTTCTTGCCTAATAACCTTGGTTAGAATCTCCAATACAAGGTATAGAAAAATTGATGTTGCAATTTTTATAAAAATGGTGAAAGGGTATAAACTATTCTTATAGCTATCAATATTGAAGTGTGGTGGCTTCATGAAATTGGTATCATACCTGTAGGACAGTAATTGGGGCTGTTCTGATTTAAAAAACACATAACTTAAAATTGAGGAGCACTAACGGGTTTCCTTTTTTTTTCTTTTTTCTTTTAGGTTTTCTCAAATAATGATGAAGGCCTTATTAACAAAAAGTTACCAAAAGAACTTCTTTTAAGGTAAATGTAGATAAACTTTAGATAAAGAATTCAGATTTGATTCTGTCATCAAATTCCAAGACAGCCTTCTTTCTCACTGTGAGTCCGTAGCACAGAAAAACAGCCAGAATTGGCCTAACCGACTTTCTGTTTTTGTTTTATAGAATGCTGTTCAGCTTGTTGTTAAATTTTACTTGGTCTAATCCAGAATGTACTAAGTATGTACATAGCATTGGTCTGGATTCTTTTTGTAATGTGGTAAGTATTGTAATAATCTTCAGTAGGTGCCATTTTCTCGGTATCAGTAGATAATCCCAATGTAGTCCATAATACGAGGAGAGACTTTGTTAAGGTTCTGAGCTCCTGAAGTCCTAGACATTTAGTTGTTTTCTGATAAATTGGTTTTAAAAGAAGTACACTTCTGTTCTTACTGAGCATTTAAAATGTTCTCAGCACAAATATTGATATGTTTTTACCCATCTTACGAGAAGTGTGTGCTAAGTGACAGTGAGTACTACAGAAAATAGGCTTTTTGTCCTTTGTTTCTGGCATCCCTGAATATGTAGCAAATGGTATTTTCCTTGTCATTTTTACCAAGTAGAGCTCTCAGCCAATGTTTGTTGACCCTGCACGAAAGTTTCCTTTAGTACTTTGCAGTCATCAGCTAAATCTTATTTTAGTTTGGTTGTTACATTTTAGTTATTAATACATATATCCATGGTAATCTTTGAGTAGCATTTCCCAGACTCTTCTCATATCTTTGATGTTCCACCAAACAAAACGAAAAACCAGGTTTTGTGAACAAATAAGTATGGGATACACTAGGTTAACAAAACCAGTTTCTTTACTGCATGACTTCTCAGAGCCTTAGTAAGCCAATAGGCATAGCAATGCTCCCACAATGGATAGCTGTGGCATTTTAAACTTGCCATGGCACCCTCTTAATATTCCATGGAAAAAATTTTGGGAAATGCTGACGCACACTAAGCGACTGCCCAGATGACTCCATTCCCTGGCTGTGCTAAATCTCACTTTAACTTCTGGGGAATGAGTATGAATTCTGTTTACATATTGGAGTTCATCACAGAGTCACTGTAAATGCCACAGATGACTAACCTCTGCTGTCCGCCAGAAACGGAGTGAGGACTTAGCTTCTCTGTGGTGGTGATCACGTTTCTGGGGCTTCCGAGGGTGTCTCATTAGTCATCAGGTGTTGTTTGTCACTGTTGTCATGAGCTCACTCTATTCTGTTAATAAAGAGGAAAATTAACTCATGACAGGATCATGTGAAAAATGCATCAACTATCTTTTATTTCAATAAAACAAATAGTTGTTTGGGTCAGACAATATTTTTGGCATTTTAGGGCATTTTAAAGTTAAGCAAGTGGTAACAAGGAAGGAATGATATGTTTATCATATAAACCCGCAAGGTCATGGTTTAGCACCACATGCCGCTAGAATCAGTATGGCTGAGTTAGGGTGGGCAGGCTGTTGGTAGACAACCGTAGGGATGCCATCCACAACAGACTACAAAATGGATAGTGTCCCTAGTATTTTCCAGTGTTTCGTTCCTGGGCTGCACATGTAGCACAGACATCGAGCTGTAATACGAATGTCATTTTTACTCTGAGGAATCATAACCAGCTCCAGGCTGACCCATCTTAGTCATTCATGGGGTGTGATTAAACTCCACTCGTGAGCGCTGCTGCTGTCAGTGACTCAAGGCTGCTAACTTAGTATGCTTTCCCTTCTGGTAGGTTTAGCTTTTACACTGTACTCAGTCATGGAACAGTTTCTATCTATTGAATCCCCCCAAAAAGGGGGGAATTATATTGCCTGGCTGGTGTTGTTCAGTGGTTGAACATCGACCTATGAACCAGGGGATCACAGTTTGATTTCCTGTCCAGGGCACATGCCCCGGTTGTGGGGTCAATCCTCAGTGGAGGGCATGCAGGAGGCAGCTGATCAGTGATTCTCATCATTGATGTTTCTCTCTCCCTTTCTCTTCCTCTTTGAAATCAATAAAAATATATTTAATAAAGGGGAAGGGAATTATATTACTTTCTGTGCTAGGGTGATTTCTGAACTGCTGTTTTAGAACTTGTAGTTCTTTTAAAGACCCACGATGGAGCCAGCTGTTAAGAATCCTGGCGTTACAGTTTTTGATTATGCCCCACAAGACTCATACACAGATCTTTTTTTTTTTTAATTGCCATTTGAGAGCAAATATACATAACGTATCTATTCACTTGTGTTCTTATTTTGGAGTCTCTCGGGGGGATTTAAGTTGTCAAGTGCTGCCGTACAGGTCTTCTCTGGCTCATGAGTATCAAAACTAATTCTAGCCAATCACGGTGTTTTAATTTTTATTGGCCTTTAAGTCATTTCTGCCATTTTGCTCTCAGACTTTCTATTACAAGCAATAATAGCTCTCCCCTTGCCTAGCTAACCTTTCTGAGAAAACTTCTTTTTTTAAAATATATTTTATTGATTTTTTTCAGAGAGGAAGGGAGAGAGATAGAGAGTCAGACACATCGATGAGAGAGACACGTCGATCAGCTGCCTCCTGCACATTTCCTACTGGGGATGTGCCTGCAACCCAGGTACATGCCCTTGACCGGAATCGAACCTGGGACCTTTCAGTCCACAGGCCGACGCTCTATCCACTGAGCCAAACCGGTTTCGGCAGAAAACTTCTTTTTTTAATTGCTTAGAGTATTACATATGTCTTCTTTTTTTTCCCCCGCCCTTGACAACCCCTGGCCTCCCCTACCCCCCAATGTCTTATGTCCATTGGTTATGCTTATATGCATGCATACAAGTCCTTCGGTTGATCTCTTACCCACCCCCCTCCTGCCCTCCCACCCTCCCCGGCCTTCCTGCTGTCTGAGAAAACTTCTGAAGGGTTTGAGCCTGTTACCAAAGCAGCCATCCTCCAGCCATCACGTGAGCACATGCAGTGGTCTCCGCCTCGCGAGCTTAAGTGTTGGTTATTTTTGCTCAGTTAAATGATGCCTTCATATTGGTTTGTTCTAGGCTTATGTTTTGGCTTCCTATTGTAGGCTTCTCTGTGACCTTGCAGGCTGTGGTTCCTGTTCTTGTTGAATTCCTGCTCCCCGGCATTTCTTACTTCATCAATAGGTGTGATTCTTTGACCTGAGAATCTTGCTTGTAGCTGAGGTCATTTTCTTTTCTGCCATTTTTGACTGCATCTGTTACCACCCTCTTAAATTCTCCATCAGCTTCTGTCACTGGGCACATCAAGTGGAGCTGCAGCTTCCTTTTTGGAACCATTCACAAGCACAACCTGGGATTATCTATTTATGTTACTTTGAATCACTCAGAAAAATCTGTGAGTTTTTTCATCAGATCATCTTCTTACTAGTTTTCAGACAACTCAGTGTTATTAACTCACAGATTTCTTCTACCACCCATTTTCAGTTTGTTAGTTAACACGTTTTTGTAATTTTGCTTTTTCTACCTAGCTTTCATTCATAAATGGAAGGTATTCAGGTTCTCCTCTCTACCCTTTGCTCTCACACAGGTCAACCATGCAGCCTGTCATTTTACTCTTCCTTGGGAGTCAGTTATGTAATGCTTATAACAATGGGGATATTTAATTTGTTGTTATTTACATATCCATTAGTGAGTTGTGTTGTTATTACATATGCTTGTCGTCATCATTATTGTTTATATTACTTTTGGGGCCAGACTTGGTTGAGATTTCAGCTTTCCCTGTTTACTAGTTGTGACCACAAAGTAACTTAATTCTTTGGGCCGTAATTTTCCATGTGTTTAAAACAGCAATAGTGCCCTAGCCGGTTTGGCTCAATGGATAGAGCGTCAGCCTGGGGACCAAAGGGTCCTGGGTTTGATTCTAGTCAAGGGCACGTACCTTGGTTGCAGGCTTCTCTCTGGCCCGGGCCCTGGTTGGGGTATGTGCAGGAGGCAACCAATCAGTGTTTCTCTCTGTCTTTCCCTCTCTCTTCCACTCTCCCTAAAAGTCAATGGAAAAAATACCCTTGGGTGAGGATTAACCAAAAATAAAGAAATAAAATAAAACAGCAATAGTAATATTTCTTACCTATGGGATTGTTGCTAGCTGTTAGAGTACCTGGCATTTAATAAATGTTAACTAAGTGTTAGCTTATTGTTAGTAATATAAATTTTGGATGCCTGAATACTTAGTGCTGTTTGATAGTGTGGTCAGTTTTAAGGCAAACAACTGATAAGAGCAAGCTGTCCTGATATGGACCTTAGCCTATGCTACTGCTAACAATACCTCAGTGGAGAACCTGGTTATTAAGTAAGTTAATGTAGCTCAGTGCTTCACCAGCCTGGACTGGTTCAGTTTCAGTGGAAAGGGCATGCTACTATCTTGTAGTAAACAGACATCTACTAGGGCTTATTGGTGGCGGTGTTATGACAGCTGATAATTATTTTGCATTATAAACAAGGCAGTCTTGGAAGGAACCAATAATCCTCTTTAGAGAAAAGGAGTCTTATGTGAGTCAAACATTGACCCCCAACTCACATTATAAATTTTAATATTAATTTGACCTTAAGTATTTACTTCTATTGCGGTTGCTTTCAGATGTTAATGATGAAATAAAAACATGTACTACTTCACAGGACATAGGGAGTGCTACATGAATAAATATATACTTTTATATTTGTGTAGGATTTATTTGGAGTAAATATTTTTAAACATTTTAAGAAGACAAAGCTCTTGTATGTACAATAATTAAATAAATCTCTTTTTAGAGACATTTTAAAAAACTTAAATTGCCATTTTTTATATCATTTTCTTCCCTTTTTAATTGTATGTAGATACATGACATAATTAAGCACTGGTAGTGTTTGTTGGCTTGAGGAAGGAAGGTTTGATTGCCCCAAAGAGGATTGCTGAGCCTAATAATTCTCGGCAAATGAAATCAACTACACAATTACATCTAATTTGCCAGCTTACTAGTGTGCCAGGGAAAATTATAAAATGACTGGCGCATAAATTTCCAAATTTTCCTTTTCTAAAATTTAGAAGCCAATTCTAAATTCTGGGCAAAAATAATTGTGGGTTTTGTTGCAATCATTAAGTTACCGCCCAGTGCCTATGTGTAATTTTGGGACCTTGGGGAGCAGTGCGGTGAAGGACTCATTCCTGTTTGGGGCATCGTTGAGTGGGTGTCCTTGCCTGCTGGTTGGGTTTAGCACGCCATGGACTTTTTCAAGGACTGGTGCCTCCACCTCTTGCTGTCTGTGATACCTTATATATATTCCAAGACAGCTGAACATGTAAGATGCTTTTTGGGGGTACCTACTGCAATTTCAAGTTTGAGCATCTATGCAGATTTTTCTTTTTTGTTAACGAGGTGTTTTTTGTTGTTGTTGTTCTTGTTCATTAATTTTCATAGTTGTATTTGCCTTGCATAAAGCCAATACAAGACTGAATTAATGTGTTGAATCAGAAACAGAAGCTTAAAGGCCCATTCTTTTAATTACCTTTGTATACTAGTATAAACTATTTTAGGATTGACAATTAAGTCCAGATCATGTCAACAGCAAAATTTCTTCAGCCTGGGTTGGGGTGATGCTTATACATTAAAACTCGGATGATTTGGGTTTTTTTTTAATCTACACTGAGATGGCATGAAACACCAATAAAACTCTCCAGATAGGAAGAATCTGTGGAGATTATGTTATGTTAGAGATCTGTTAACTTAAAAACTCTGTGTTTAGTTGTTACAACTGAAAAGATTGGTAAATTTGACTCTGTGAATAGTAAAATGTGGCAAAGATAAATAGCACAGTGGTGGGTGAAATAACTGAAATATGCATTATAAGCAAGGGTTATGTTCTTCAATATATAAAGCAAAAATTCTTAAAATTATCCTATATAATAAAACCCTAGTATGCAAAGCAACCAAACAGCAGAATGGCCAGTGACATGCACTGACCACCAGGGGCAGACATCCCCCAAGGGGTCCCAGACTGCAAGAGGGTGCAGGCTGGGCTGAGGGACCTCTCCTCCCGCCCAGTGCATGAATGTCATGCCCTGGGCCTCTAGTCTATATAATAAAAGCTTAAGCGATCGTTACGGCAGAATGATCATAACAACCGGTTGCTATGATGCGCACTGACCACCAAGCAGACACTCAATGCAGGATCTGCCCTCTGGTGGTCAGTGTACTCCCACAGGGGGAGTGCCGCTCAGCCAGAAGCCGGGCTTACGGCTGGCGAGGGCAGTGGCAGTGGCAGGAGCCCTCCTGCCTCTGCAGCAGTGCTAAGGAGCAGCGAGCAGGCGGGTGGTAAGGAGCAAGGGATCCTGGACTGTGGGAGGGATGTCCGCCTAAGCCAGCAGGGGGACATCCCTTGAGGGGTCTCAGACTGCAAAAGGGCACAGGCCAGGCTGAGGGTACCCCCTCCTGCCCTGTGCATGAATTTTGTGCACCAGGCCTCTAGTTAATAATAAAAGTGGCCTGACCAGTTTAGCTCAGGGGATC